ACATTTGAATACTGTACACATGGTAAAACAGGACATTCAGACAGCCTACATATGGTAAAGAGAACAAGGCTCCTCATCTACACTGCATGCCAACAAAGGAACTTTTGCTACACACACTGAGGACCGACAGAACGACCCATTTGGCATTTCATATCCTGCTATGATGACCCGGTCTTTCATGAATATCAATACCTTGTTCAGAGTATAAAATGAAAAACTTGCGGGCGATGTTTGTAACTTTTTATGTTGTTACTTTGTGGTAATTTAATATTTATTTTTTCTTCTTGCTTAAATACTTTGCAATAATTCCTTTTTGTTTGTTATTGATAAGTGTTAGAAGCTAAAGTGATTATAACTTACATTCATTAATCACTGTAGTAGTGAATTACAAATAAACATTTAGACCCTTGTCTATTCAACTCTAAACCTCTGATTTATCTTCTGCTTGGTAAAACACAGAGGCTGTGGCTCATTATTTATACACATTAATGTTGTCTGAGTGCTCAGGTTAAATCCCACACCACACTATCAGAATGCAACGAACAATCTTCCTTAAATATAATTATTTGTATCAACCACTGCAACAATTTTAATAGAGACAGATTAATTATATTGGAGTCAAACATCATCCTGCAACTGTTTTTGTTCTGATTATTGTTTCAAAATAGAGGTGTAAACTTCCAGATTCACTGTCACAGAAATCCAATAGAGAAAAGCGGTGACACTTTATTTTAAGGTGTCTTTGTTACACAGGTTACATGTACTTACTATTATAATAACAATGAAGTATGCATAATTACATGCAACTAACCCTAAGCCAAACCCTCATCCTAGCCCTAACCATATAGTAAGTACATGTTAATTAATATTACTCAGTACTTAAATGTATAATTACACTGTAACAAGGACACATTAAAATAAAGTGTAACCAGAAAAGCAAATAAAGCACAAAAAGAAAGAACAAATATTTTTTAAAGTTTATTTCTATGATTTTTATTTATTCTGATGCACTTGTTGTAAAAAAGGAACATTAGTTGATGAATATTTATGAAAATAAATGTTTTTTTGCACACTTATGGCTCTTGTCTTAAATGTCCAACCCTACATGATTATACTCAGAAACTAAGACCGGCTCAAAGGGCACCTTGTCATTACTAAATTAAGGGGACTAAAATATGTTACACATGATACTCACACAGAGTCAGAGGTCACAGGTCCATCACTGAGATTAGGAGGCAGACCAATGGATTTGTTACTCTTCATAGACACACAGCTAGAGATTGGAGATGCTGCTCTCTTTCTATTCCTGCTGATGATACTGAGAAAAAGACAGAAATATATCAGATTACTTCTCTGTAGTTTATCTGTCTTCCCAAATTAAACTTACATTTGTCAAAACTAGAATGTGTATAACATATAGTTGTAAAGAAAAAAAACAAATATGTTATACACAATATTGCTTTAATAAAATACAAACTTCAACCAGTTACAAATGAAAAATAACCAGTATGCATGTGAAATACTACTTGAATGCTATTAATGCAATACTGTTTTTATTTCTTTAAAATGTATTTTAAAATAGACACATAGTACTGTATAAACCTTTTGATTTAATGAAGAAGAAATTAAGATTAGTGTCTTTCTTTATCTTTTTCTTAAACATTTTCTTTCTTTATTGTAGTACACTTTGAAAGTGTGTAGACCTAGAGTAAAATTTACAGCACACATCATGGTTTGATCAATGTAATCAGATATGTGAGAAGCTAACTGTTGTTTGTGGAAAGCTGTCATCATTTCCCCT